GTAAAATCCTTTAATATAAAGGGTTTAAAAACAAACAATTAAAACCTTGTCATGTTGAGTGTATTTACAATACATAAACTTGCAAAAGACTCAAAAAAAATCCTCTGGCAACCCATCATTTGCAATAACAGCATTATGATGTAGTCATAGTCCAGAACCACTACATAGTAAAATATGTTTTCTGCTTTCCTACTTACAGGGAAAAACCAAGGAAGGAAATTCAGAACGTAGAGTTCACAGTGAAACCTAAAACACACCTAAAGTGCTCCTAATGCCTTTTGTTTTTTGAATTGGGAGGAAAAAATAGAAGTAGGAAAGAATTTAGATCCCCTATTATTAATGTATGTATTGTACAATGCCAACTGTTGCTTTACTGATGTATTTAATTACATCATTGTTAATACATTTGTAATAAGTTAACTACAGTACCATCTCAGAAACAAAATTTAATTTACTATATGATCACAGAAAGCCTACAAAGCAATACTCATTTAATGTTTTTATTACAAAATCTTAAAAAAAAAATTCAAAAATATTTACCTATCTTTAGTGCTTCACATATTTAAAAGATTATAGAAAGATTTTTGTTGCTGTTGCATTAATTTAAAAAATCACATAGTACTAAAGGGACTTTAAATAAACCTTTCTCTTTCATGGAACATGATTTCAAAACATTTAATAAATTCAGCAGTGAAGATGACCATTTTGGATCAGATAACTCATCCTGATTTCTACAATGAACAAAAGTGATAAAAAAAATTGAATGAGTATTCCTTGAATAATAGAAGCAGATTTTCAGAAAAGTTCTGTGTATGCTTAGAAAAAGCCTCCACAAGTCTTGAAGCTTGTTTTCACTTTACAAGTAAACCATTACCTGAAGATAAGTAGGTATAAACCAGCCAGCTAAGGACACTTGGGAGAGAAGAATATTGGCCAAATTACTTAGCAGCTATTCAATCAGGAATTCACAAGCAATATACTCTGTTCCACAACTAACATACCCGCATATATTCCTTCCAATCAACCTTCTTAAATAGCAAGATATGGTTGGGTTTTTTTCTATCCAGCATTAAACAGGACCTTAAATAAGTCATACTAAAACAGAAGTTCAATGAATATTCTCCTTTCTTAAGACACTAAAAACCCATAAGCTGAGCATAAACAGTCACCTCACATAATTAAACAAATTCTTTCTCTACTAAAATTTTAAAAACATTCCCTCGTGTAAACACATCAGTCAGAGTGAGAAGGAAAGGCAAGATTAATACACATGAATAAATGGAAATATCTCCTTTAGAAAAGCTACTTTCGTGGCACATGTATTTTGTCATTAGTAAAGACAGTGAAAATCCAGAGAGTGTGCAATTGCTAGCAATTAAATTCTAAAGCTCTAATATGAATATAGCAAAAGATATGGTGATGTATTTAATTTTCTACAGAGAAAAAGAGAACCGGTACCTGTTTTAAACCAGGAAGCAGCAGGTAATATCAAGCTCAAAACCACTTCCTGTCAAAGAAAGGAGAGAAAATTCCTTTACAGATACTGTCATTATTAATCCACTCTTTGAAAGGTTATTTATAGAAAATCTTTCAGTTTTGAAAATTCATACCATGATTAGAATCTAAGAAATCATTTGGGTTGCCTGTGCCTAAAAGAGACCAATGGCAAAATTTGGTTAAGTATTTTGGAGAACACAGCCAATTTCTAGACACAGCACAAATCCTGGAAGATGAAACTGAATTTTTGACATGCAGGCTTAGAGTCAGGAAATGTAAATGTTTGGAAAGAGCAGAGTTCACACTAGACAGGGAGACACAGGAGGATTTTCCGTTTCGCTTTGTGCCGGCCGCAGCAGCACTGGGCGCTTTCTCTGGGCTCCCTCTCGTGAGCAGCTGCTGACAGCGCACACCAGGAGCACCACCACCAGCAGCACTCCAATAACCTACGAGTTCCAGTTTCATGTGAAGTTACTTGTTTCTTAACGCACCATGCCCCAAATGGCCTTGCCCACAGCAATGTTTGGTTCCAAAGATATTATCCATGTACAGTTACCTTTCCCTAGAAGGAGCAGGATATAAATAGCAAGACGCCCTATTTCCCCAACCAAACCCCACAGCCTGCTTCCGAAGAGCTCATCACCCCTCGCTGCGGGGATGAAAAAATCCACACCTACGGAACAAGCTTTATAAGCAGTCATAGCAGTGTTGTTCAATGAGCAAGCATTACCCGTTTTAGAAGTAAAATGATACATATTATTTATATTATTAATGAAAAAGGCATTTTAAAAGCAAGCACTTAAAGAAAGCTCCTATCTTGTAAGGAACCTTTTCTTTTACCAGGATGTAAGCGTTCGCTTAAGTTTTGACCGAACTACCATTTAATTAATCCATTCTAAATCTGTCTCTCATTGTAAAACATCTTGCTTTACCCCATATTCATCCACTGCAATAATAAGCTGCTTGTTTTCATGAGCTGTTTAGATGCTATGCAGATCGAGTTGTAAATTGCAGAAATAAGGATTTTTGCACCAAAGAACTAGCACAGCCTAGCACAGACCTGACAGCTATTCCAAATTTGCAAGCATTTAGTGACTTTCTCTCACTCTGAATTAGACTGTTTATGCTGTGACTTAAGAGGCGAATTCCGCTGAAATCTGAGGAAGGGAATTCTGGATAAGGAACAGTAAAAGTCACGATCACGCATACAACAGGAAAGCCCACCAAGAAAACCACTTGCAGCCATGCTAGAAACAGCATTACTTTATTATTAGCTATTTAAGTCAATACTTGCCCAAAGGTACACTTTTCTAGATCTATATTCCAATGTCTGTTACACAGCAGGTCTGATAAGAGGCTAGTACAAATCCAATTAAATCCTACTACTGCTGATTGCTGTGTAATTTGGGATAGTCAAAGAAACTGTGCCAATGAAGTGTAAAATACCAAAGGAAAACTTTATGTTGTTGCATGTGTCATTAGAATGGGAACTCCAAAGAGCAAACACAACAAACTAATCAAGATCTAGCCTCAATAAACTGAAAACGGACCCTTTTGTCACACATTCTTGGGACAGCAAAGATTTGGAGACAAATTTTAAATACACTTTCTTTCTTCTGAAGGTAAATAGAGTAACAGTTTCAATTACCAGCAACGGAATGATTTTTTTTGTTTTTATCATGTGTTCAATTTGCCAGGTGTGGAATTATCAGTAAAACGGTCCAACACTCCCAAGCATCATTCTTCAAGGTATTCCTGTCTTTCAAAGTCGCAGAGACCTGATTTTTGCAATACAACCCATGAACAGGGACCTACCTTGCGTCTTAATGAGTCTGTAATCAAATGACAGAATCAACACCAGAGCTTGCAAATTTGTTCTTGTCTGCAACATCAGTAAGCCAGTAACACAAACAAAACAAAGATGGGGGGGAGGGGGGGGGAAGAAATCATCAACAACGCCAGCAAACAACTTTAATTATATTCTAGAAAGCTTCTAGATCTCACAGAAGACTAAGTCGCTTTCTGGTCTACAGTCAGCGAAAATAGTCCTGGCCTTTGAAATCATGCCGGTTTATTTAACACTGCCTTGCTCCCAAAGAAAGGCTGCCGGCAATTCTGAGCATCCCGTAGCAGTGAGGCAGAGCACACTCACCATCAAATTCTAGTTGTTCATTCCACTGACTGGAAAAATGCCTGCCATCTGATTTCTTTTACAGGGCCGCATTTGAGCAAGCAAAGTTTATAGAGATGACTTACCTAATTAGAGTCAAAGACTGATTTTCTACCTCAGCAATAGTTTTTAAATGTACAAATCTAGACAGAAAGGCATTTTGAAAACAGGTGTGAATGACACTGCTCCATCAGGCATTAAATTGGAGCTGTTCCTGAAAAATAGTATAATTTCTGCGTTTAAGTTACCAGTATGTTATGAACTGCCATGTTTTTAAACCAAGCATTCCTTGTGGTGTTCTGCCAATGATATCTCAGCAAAATCTCTCACCCTTTTAATAGCAGCACGAAACAGGCTACCGTGTCCTTCTCTTCTCCGAAAGGTTGATCTAAAAAGTCTCAAAATTATCTGAGGAGCATAGCAGCCTTAGAAATAGGGCTACAAACCAGTTAATGCCTGAGCGAAAACAGCTGGTACTTGCAGGCGGTGTTGTATTTCCAGAGGAACAACAGCTGAGAAAGGAGGAAATTGTTTTATCTTATGACCATTATCTAATATTTATGTCTCAGCCGTACCCAAGGCCTCCGGCTCGGCAGCGCGCGGCTACGCAAGCGCCCGAAGAGCGCCGGGCCTCGGCCCTCGCACGAAGATGGC